CGTTTTCAAAATTGGATATCATGGTTAGTAGAGGCCGATCTTCGGATCGGGCGAGATGGGGTGCTCATAGCTGACCTTCCCCAATCGTACCCAAGCTCCCGAGCCGAGGCAACTTTGGTGATGACGGACACGTGGCCTTTGGCACCGAGTCAGGGTTTCCTAAATTTCCCCATAAAAAATATTTAGGTGGCGACTCTGTATCTGGCAAAGCAGTCCATGTTTGGCATTTCTTTCAAAATCTGTTTTTCTCAAAACAATTTGCCAGATTTGGACTCTTTGGTTCAGATTTAGAACCGTGACACAAATTGAGTCCGAACTGTAGCATGAGGCCCACGGGCGCGTCTACAGCGTTATCGTGCTCTAGTTTTTTACGCTTCCGTCCGTTTGAAGTCTCGGGCGAGGCCACACCAGCAACGTACTTGAACTGTCAGATCTCCATTCTCCGACGCCTCGCCACTCGTGAACTCGGTTCGCATGTCGTTGATGCTTCGCTATCACTCACTACTCCGTAACAAATCTTTGCCATTACAAAATCTCCACCACATAATAATGATGACTGGTTCAATAGTCGGCTTTCAAACAATTTTTCTTCTCCCTTTGGAAGGTTGTTCAGTGCTTGCTGAATTTGGTCTAATGGGCTGCAAAAGACAAATCACTAAAAGCTTTCAAAATTGATGCTTAGTATTTGCATTTAAATGTAAAAGATTAATAGGGAAAAAAAATGAATTTTTTCGTTCCAACGAATGTGTCTGCAATGTGTTTGTTAGTGTAAGAATTTAGAAATCAAAAATCCAAAGATGAGAGAAAGATTAGTGGCTTCCCATGAGGACACAGCTTTGTAGATATCCAGAGAAGTTCTTTATCATTTTCTCTACTTTCAACAACAATAACCATCTAATTTTGAATTTCTCTGGTTTGGACCAAAGAAATTCTAAACCAAAAAAATTCTCTCTAGTTTACTTATAATTTTTTCTAATTTGTTTACCATTTTCTCTGCCTTCAACAACAATAATCATTTGAATAAATCAACCTCAACTGTTGATTAAACAACAGATTTTAGAACATACACCTTGCAATGGTTTGGATTAGAGAATTTCTCTGGATTGAATTTTCTCTGGTTTGATTTGAGGGATCTTAGACATTATAAAAATATTAAATGTATTTTATGCTATAAAATCTTAATACCAAGAACCTTAAAAAAAAAGGAAATTTTTTTAAGGTCTATTAAAATTTTATAATATAAAGGACACCAAATATTTTAATAATGTCTAAGGTCCCCAGAGAAATTTCATCCAGATTCCCAGAGAAATTTCCCTCCAGAGAAATTCCCATCAAGAGAAATTTCATCTAGAGAATTTCTCTGGACTTCTCAGAGATTTTCTCTCCAGAGAAATTTCTCTCCAGAATTTCTTTGGACCTCTGAGAGAATTTCTCTGAGAGGTTTCTCTATTTCTCTGGACCTCCCGCGAATTTCTCAAAGAAAATTTACACAATGGCCAAAATCCTAGAGAATTTCTCTGGATAGAAATTTTCTCCAGAGAAAATGAATGAAGAATTTCTTTGGATCACTTTAAGCTAGAGAAATTTCACCAACAATGGTATGAAGTTCATGGCTTACTTCCTAATGATGATCATATCATAAATGTTACTTACAAAAAACTTGAAAGCCTCATAAAATCCAAAAAAAAATTGAATTTCTTTCCAGAGAAATTTTAGACTTCCCAGAAAAAAATTCTAGATTCAAACTAGAAAAAATTCAAAACATTCAATTTTCTATGAATTTCTCTGGTTTGAAAATTTCAATTTCTCTGAGCCTAGTACAACTCTATGACTCATCTAGCTTGGCTTCTTCCTCTCCCTTCCCTCCCTCTCTCTGTTTCTTGTTTTATATCTTTCTTCCAAGATTCAGAATCAGAACAAGACATAGCATAAGAGTAAAAGATTTTCAACAATTTCCCCTAGTTTTGGCAGCAACTAAACAAACAAACACAAGGCCGAGGGAATTAAAAAAGAAAAAACAAGAACAACCTGATATCAACACCACTTTTAACGATATATCTGGAAACATTTTGGCGAACCCACAGATCAGAAGCAACAGTGGAAGAGCTGATGAGAGACAACATCTCATTGGGAATTCCAACCATGAGTTGAATCCCAGTACCCATGAGAGATTTGACAACATCAGGGTCGGCATCGAAGAGCTTCACTTTTCTGGATGTTGTTGTATTTGAGGAGATCCACCACCGTCAATGGAGACAGCTTGTGGAGGGACATCATCTCCCAGTTCACACCTAATCTTGGTTCCGCAACCGTTATCGACCAACTCCACACCACTAACACTAACGATGATGGTCCGGCGGCGCCTGAGCCGTCACCGCCGACTGGAACCATGGTGACATCGGTGTTGAGAGAAGCCATTAGCTGAAGCCAACACACACACACACAAGTAAAATGCACGACTTTTGATAAAGAGAAATGAAGTTTGATTTTGGAGAGCTAAATTTCTCTGTGATATATGGATGTGGGAGTTGAGGGACCTTAGACATTATAAAATAAAATTGTGGATCTCTTCTATTACTAAATATGAGAGAGGGACCTTAGACTAATTTTTCCTAAAAAAAATCCTCCAAAATTATAATATAAAATAATAACATTATTTATATTTATTTTAAATAAAAAAAAAAAACCTTCCACCAAAATTTTGCCCTAATTCTCATCGAGGCATATGCCAACCTTGGCAGGCCAGAAGCCAGACAGACCCAATTTTGGGGCAAAGTTCATAAAAAAGTTTGGGCTCCCAAAAATATTTTTTGGCCAAAACATTTGATGAGATTATAGTTCATCACTAGAACACTTTCGAAATTCAAGGTGGATACACATTTTGGTGTTGTATCAATAACACATAAACTGCTTCCATACTTCGCAAACGATAATGATACACATTTAGGTGCTATATCAACTTAAACAAACTTTTCAATAGATAGGCATATGAGCTATATCAACACTACAACAGATAAGCATATGAGCTGTATCAACACTTCAACAGATAAGCATATGAGCTGTATCAACACTTCAACAGATAAGCATATGAGCTGTATCAACACCACTTAAGCCCTTGGCTTGAAACTATATGTAATACAATCAAGGAAAATAAGACAGCCAAAGTATGTCCGCCTCTAGCCTCCCCTATCTTCCCCTAAACCGCGGAGTACATCCCCCATCTCCTCCTCTACACAATGCATATAAACACAAAGGTTCTATACACAATATAACGTATGTAAACACAGAATCACATACGCAATCAATCAATACATAAAGTTAATGTATTCTATCAACTGTCTACACATGATGCATATAAACACATTGGCCATATGCACAATCAACCAACACATAAAGTCAGTGTATTCTATCACCCGTCATACTCTATGACACATCCAATTGCTTAGTTTTAGTTTGCCTAATCATCATGCATTGTCTATAACAATCACCACAACCCTCCACCGGTAGCCCAAAGCAATTATTTCTACGCAGGAAATAAATACACAAATGGATAATATATCAACATTTCAATTAGATGAGCAATGAAAGATTCGACTACACTCTTTAGTCCCATACATTCCCAATTTCAACATTTTCAATTCAATTCCTCGTTTTCTTCAATTGATTATATGCATTAATTAATTAATCCAATTAGGGCAAATTACCATAATTCACAAAACAACCCTAAGGTTCCATTTCCATCAATGTCCCAACATTAATCTCATTTCTCTATGCCTAACATGCATATAGGTTTATATATTTAAAACCCCAACTTTTGTAAAATTACATAAAGGCCCAAACTCTCTCAAAATTACCCAACAACCCCAACATATCAAAATGCTAAAATTTAAAGACAAAGCTCATAGAGAGGAGTAGGATATCCCTACCTCGAATGATGGGGCTCAACGAAGGAGATGAAGAAATGGAAATGCTCCAAATCCCGAAATTTTCAGATTAAAAGATAGCCCTCGACGATCAACACAACTTTTGTAAAGGCCCAAGGTGAGAAAACAACTCCTACTAGATCAACCCTAAGAGAGAAGTTAGGGTTTTTGAGTGAGGTGCTCTCCAATGGAGGTTTTGAAAAAGCAAGAGAGAGAAAGGAAATCAAAAATTGATCAAAAAAATGATTTCACGGACTGATATAAAAACAGGTCCGCTCGAGCGTACAACACCCCGCTCGAGCGTCAGACACAGGTTCACGCTCGAGTGTCCCAAGATCCGCTCGAGCACCGGATGCACTCTCCCAGAATTTTTTGCAGATGTCCAAAATGTTGAGAGAAGGAAATTCACGCTCGAGCGTCCAAACTGCCGCTCGAGCGGAGAGGCAACAACAAAATCCCGCTTGAGCGTCAAATCGCCGCTCGAGCGAAGTAACCAAAACCTGGGCAAAATTTCTAATTTTTAAAGCACGACCAACTTGTTCCCAACTTGCCCAACACAACCCAAAACTCTAATTAAAAGAGTAAGGGATAGAAATGAGGATAAGACAACAACGAATCTACGGAACCGAGTCCGGATTACAGTTAAACAACAACAGAAAATACTGGGATCACTATATATGCAGTCTCCAGTAAAAACATCTTTCTTTTTCTTCAAATACTCCCCCTTGGACTGGAATAAAATACAAATAGGTTAATTATACTTTTACATTGATCTCTATAGTTTTAATTTAAACAAATAAAAATGGGTTAATTATACTTTTACATTGATCTCTATAGTTTTAATTTAAACAACTTGGTCCTCACACATTAATAATGTATTTATATTACTTGGTCCCCACACATTAATAATGTATTTATATTACGTTTGTTGTGATAGAATGCATGGGATATATATACTTTTTTAAAGATGCACAATGTAGCAACTCCCGTCTGTTTAGCTCCTCATGAGAGTAATCTTTGTTGGCACAATTTTTTATTTATTTATTAAATCTTGATGCGCCCTCAGTGGTTTAATATATGCGATTTTATCCTCCAAAAAACTGTTTTAAGCAAAGTTTCTTGTAATATTCTTATTATTATGCTAAACTAATTGTTAATGGTTTGTAGTGGTTACATGCCTCCAGAGTATGTAATGCATAGACAATTCTCTATAAAATCCGATGTATTTAGTTTTGGTGTCTTAGTTTTGGAGATCACACTTGGCAAGAAGATCAGTAGTTTTACCAATCAAGCTACGCTAAGGACTTGCTAAGCTACGTGAGTGATTACATACTTTCTAACTATTATTTTCCTGCTTAGGGATAATATAATCACATCCACATGTTACATATAATGAATTATTACAGGCTTGGAAACTATGGAGAGATGGAACACCTTTGAAATTGATGGATCCAAATTTGGAAAAATCTTACTCAAGAGATGAGGTCTCTAGATGCATCCATATAGGCTTGTTGTGTGTCCAAGAAAATATTAATGTCAGGCCTTCCATGGCAACGGTAGTTTTGATACTCAATAGTTACTCATTTACTCTATCAGTTCCTTAAGAACCAACATTTTTTGCCCATAGCATAATGGGGTCAAATACACTAAAAGGCCTAGACTCGAATCAGTCTACAAGCAAGTCAATGCGATGTTCTGTGAATGAATTATCGATTACTGAACTAGATCCTCGATAATGTGAGAAATCAAGGCAATATCAAGGTTCAAAGAGAGATTAATGGCATGAGATGAACAGCAGTAGACTTAAAGTAGGACACGAATGATATATTTCAACATTTGAAAGATTCAAAATAAAATATAGGGTTCATGTTCTCTCTAGTGCCCTAGCCTCAGCCCAAAATTCAAATGAGGTCATTTTTGTTTGGAGGTTTATTTATTTTAATTTATTTTGTGCTTTTCTTTTTCATAGGCCTTATTATTGAGAAAGTCGTAAGTGCACAAATTTTTATTATAGAATTAAATATAAATCTCTCACATGAGGTGGGTTTATTACATATGAATCTCACGTGATGTATAGAAATTATATATAATTCTATGATCGAGTTTAATACACGAGAGAACCGTTTGGTTTATTGAGGCTGATTGGGATATGCTAACATCATCTCATTTCCCTCAAACTTGGAACCTTGAACGTCTTATCATGGCAGCAGTTCCAATTACAATTAAATCAATAATGGAGGAAGAACATGGCTAATTAACAGAGAAAGAACACATGGCTCCTTTTTTGAAAATAAAATTAGAATAATACAAATTTTTAATACAAAATTCCTCATTTAAATCATGTTAATGGTGTGTTTTAAATGAAAAATAATTTACAAACCAAATATTCATTCTTGAAACTCATCCAAAATAATGTAACGTTTAAAAGAATAATGTTATATGCACTAATTAGTGTATACACTAGTGTATCAACAGATGATATGACATAATTTTAGAAATTTTAGATATTTGTAATTTGTATAATAAATAGGGTCATTGGTGATATCATAACACTAGTTAGTACACTGGTATATATACTAATTGGTACATATAGCACCACTGCGATTAAAATATTTTAAAATTATAAGTAACAATAATAGGAGTTTTAATTGGAGATAAAAACATCACATAAAACCACATCATTTTATATATGAATTTTTATAAAACTCAATTTATATATCATTATATTTGAAAATACAAGAATCAATCTCCTTGTTGGGTTTAGACTTTTTATTTTATTTTATTGAAAAATTGAGTTTTTCGTTTTTAATCAATTTTTTAATTTTTTTAATATATGTATATATTTTTTTACTTTTTAGATGCACATAACCTGAATGCACCTAAAAAGTAAATATTTGTACACTACAAGAATTTACACATTTGCCGACCACTTTTGCTGACCAAAAGAATTTTGGTCGCAAAAAAATAACGTTTGCCGACCAAAATATTAATTAGTCGCGAATGATCATTATTTTTGGTGACCAAAATGAGTTGGTCGCAGAAGGTCATATTTTGGCGACCAAAAATGAGTTGGTCGCAGAAAGTGATATGCTTTTGGCGACCAACTATAAATTTGGTCACGGAAGGTCACATTTTGGCGACCAAAAAAAATTAGTCGCCAAATTAGTACTTTTAGCGACTACTATTTTAGCCGCTGTTGATTGAGATTTGGCGACTAAAAATGTTTGTCGGCGAAACATCCTTTTTCTGCGACTAATTTAGTCTTTTGGTCGCAAAAAATTTGGGGGGGTTATTTGAAACGTGGGGCGGGAATTTGAAATTCGCCATTCCCCTCTGTCTTTCTCTCACACAGATCCTCAGACCAAACTCGACCTACGACCACATTGATCTCTCGTTGATCCTCATATCCTCAGACCACACTCAACAGTAGTAGCCTCTTTAAACTGATCCCTTGTCTTCAACATTTCTACCCCAAACCAGACTATTCTATCAGCTTCATGTTATTCGATGTGTGTGATGCTTCATGTTAGGATGTTAATGCAGAGCCTCTCATAAACTGCCAGTGTATCTGATCATAGATGGTGGGATTTAAAAGGTGAAAGTTTAGGCCATTTTAAGAAAATAATCAATAATGAAAACAAGGGAAGAAAGATCAGGGGAGCAAGATACAACCGATCTTCCGAGACCGGGATTTGGGTTGTCTAAAATGGACTTCCAATGAGAAAACAAATTCTGTGCAGTGTGAGACACAATCCAAAGAAACTTCTTGGTGGAATGAAGAGGTTCAAAAAGCGATCAAAACAAAAGGAGAGTGTCACAAAACTTTCTATATATATATAGGAATAACAAAAAAAATAAAAGATAAATTAGCAAAAAACAAAGTTAAGAAAGCATTTAGTAAGGCTAAGTTGAAGGCTTATGATGATCTTTTATCATAAGTTAAATTAGAAGGATGGAGAAAAAGATATATATATATATATATATAAACTTGCCAAGTTAAGAAGAAGAAAAGGAAGAGTCCTAAACTACATTAAGTGTATAAGCTAGCAGTAGTTAAGTAAGATGAGAACAAGGAACAGTGAAGGAATTACTTTGAATTTTTTTTTTTTTTTTGGTGATAAAAAAATAAGGAATTACTTTGAATGTATTTAAGAAATCATTCAAGAAACTTGAGTTTAGAAGAACTTGATAACTCTAGCAGTAATACTAATCATAGGTTCTTTCGCATTTTAAGAGTATCAAAGGTAAAGGAGAGTATAAAGAAGATCAAAGTGGGAAAAGTTGTATGACAAAATGAAATTATTATTCAAGAGAATATCCTCCATTTCCTCCCCCTTCTTCTAAGGATCTACGAAGGCAGAGTGTAGTGGAATGTTGAACCATTTTGTCCTTTCCAGCCATTTCATTCACCTTCCTAACCACTCCTTCAATCTGCTCAACTCAAACTTCCACCCTTATCATTAGTGAGTACAAACTTCTCAGAAAAACCAGTATTCTTGTCCATTTTCTTTAAAACAAAAGAGCCATTAGCTTCTAAGTCAAAAGAAATTCAAAATGATAAAAAAATAAAAATAAAAAAAATTTAAAACTTAAAACAAAACCTTCCTCATTACACATTCCTGTCTCTCCTTCAAAAAAAATTTAAGCTGGAGTTGGCGATGGATTCCATTAAAGTCCAAAAAGTCTATCAACATAAACCAATTGCCCCCAGACCGTTAAAAAGATCAACCATAAATTAGTGACAAAAATGTTAGGTATTTTTCTATAGAGAACAATTTATTTTGGTTCAAGTCAATGGGATGCAGTAGCCATGCCAGGTCTCAGTTAAACAAATCAGATCAACAGGTTAAACTAGGCCGTTTAAGCTCTACACAAAATCTTGCATTTTTCTTTCTCTGATAATGCTATTAGACAGTTGCACATTACCTGAACAATTTGAAAAAAGTCCCTCAGGAATAACTCTTGTGTTGTCTTCGATTGATGGCCACAGGCCAGGACTTCCAATATATGATTAATTGCCACATCAAACATCCCAAGAAATGCATACCATCTGTTTACATGTCAAGTATGTTAAATATCTTTGCACATTACTAATACCACAATTGCTAATGTGTTTATTATGCAAACTACTAGCAAATGCTTTAGAACTTACTTTCCAATATGGAAATGAACATGATCCCTGATATGGTTCCATTTAGTTCCTTTAAAAACAGTTAAAGCACCTCTGTATGTGCGAATTGCATGCTTCATCTGATGACAAACAAGGGAGATATTTTCAGAAAATTACAGCATTTACGCACAAAGAAACTTTTGCATGATTTGTGATATAGTTACCTGATCACATTTCTTATATAGATCACCTGAAAGAACAAGATGGAATCCATATTTGCGTAACATTGGTGGTTTCACAAACAAGTAGCAATAAGATGCTTGCTCCAGCATGACAGAATGTAGGGGTTCCTAAAAGAAGTTGCATTTCAGGAGCAGAGCATAGATATTATTATTCAGTGTTGTTATAAAAAAACGTGGGTATTACCTCACCAGAAATACGAAAGTAAACAGTAGTAGCCTCTTTAAACTGATCCCTTGTCTTCAACATTTCTACCCACCAAAGACCACACCTTGTAGCATTTCGCTGACCAGATGACCCAAGTTTCTGAATAATAATAAATTACGTAATTCAGTAAAAATGTGAATGCATAAAGTCCAACGAAAAGGCAAGAGTTCATTCCAACTGCAGGTATTAACCAAAATGATAGAATTGCAGCTCTAGAAAAGGTTAGTTAAAAGTAATGCAGCCCCTCACAAGGTCATAAATCTGGCGAACTAAAATCACTTACGGACACAAGAAATCGCCTCCTAATGTAAAACCAGATCAGTAACAGCTAATTAGTTGCCAGTTTCCTTTTTCAATGAGTATATACAACATGCCATTATGCTCTTTCAAAAGCCTGTGCTTTAATACTGCCAACAAGACAATTAAAATTCACTGGAAGATGTAATTTGGAGTTGTTAGGAAGGCAAGGCCCAAGAATTAATCAAAAGAAAAGGTGGAAGCTTGAGAAAGGAGCACTTTTCAAGGACTATTGCAGTCCTGAGGATGCCTCAATTAATTGTAATTGAGGACTCTACGCTGTAACAAGATCAAAATTTTGTGTACTTCATCGTTTAGTTTAATAAGAATTAGATGTAGCAAAAAAAATTCACACAGATGAAGAAACATTTCTCTAGCAAGGGTCTATTTTCAAATATTATTCATTAGAAGTTTAGAGCATCTAAGTAAATCATTCGTAAATTATAAAGCTAGATCTTTAAACATAAAAACGAAGAACCAAAATATAGAGGTAGTGGACAATAGATGAGAGCATCATCTAGAAAAACTAAGAACAAAAGGTGGAGCCAGTGTACTAATTGAATGTCTAATATTGCTTTTTGATGGTTTTGAATACGTGATGATCAAGACTGTTCTGTTTCCATCATCAAGTTTGAATAATATGTCAAAAAAATTCATGAAAATTCTTGAAATTGGCATAAGACAACCATTTTATTCTAGGGATTTAAGGGGGTAGGAAGTTGAGAACATCATGAAAGATTTATTGCTAATGAAATTTAAAATAAAAAAAGTCATGAGGCATCAATAATTATCATAAAGCCAAAAACAAGCATTCATATGGGAACACTTAGTGGCTACATTTTCCTTGAAACATTGATCTTAAAAAAATAGCCCTAAAAACATAACAGCATTAAACTGGGAATTAATCTTTGCTCTAAAATGTCTAAAGAAAACACAACTCTGTAATATTTTAACATCATTAAGAAATAGGGTTGATTACATTTTCTACCCCTAAACTATTGCCAAATTGTCTACTTAATCCCTAAACTATCGATTGAATCTATTAAGTCTCTAAACTATATAAATCAAAGTCTATTTAGTCCCTAAACTATCGATTGAATCGATTAAATCCCTGAAGTATTTAATTCAAATCTATTTAGTCCTTAAAAGGATTAGAAGAATAAAATATAAACCAATAAGTATTATAAATTAGTAAAATACCAAATCTAGTTAAAATTTGATTTCAAAAAAACTTTAAAATTTTAATGTCTTTGAAAAGTGGCGTCAGTCCTTATGGTGAATTTCCTTTATAACGGTAAGTGTAATTATCTATAGTATTTTCTTAATTATCTTTTACAATGGCTACATGCTCGCCTTTATCTAGTATTATATGCTAGATTTCGTTTATAATTTCTAATTGATTGTTTTTAAATTTGTCGTAAGTTTTTTTTATTACTTAATTCATGTATTAGTTTGTTATACTATTATTTGTAATGAAGTGTTATTATTTAAATTATTTAATTATACTTGTTTAGTATATCTAATATTCATATAATTTATTGACAAGAATGGGAAATGGGACTTTAATATTAATTTAAACACAGAACGAAATGAAACACCTGTTACAGACAAAATAAAAATTTAAGATGTTTCCTTAATAAAATCTTAATTGGGCAGGTGTTTTACTAATTTATAATACTTATGGCACTATATTTTATTCTTGTAATCTTTTTAGGGATTGAATAGGTTTGAATTAAATATTTTAGGACTTAATAGATTCACTTAACAGTTTAGGGACTAAATAGACTTTGATTTATATAGTTTAGAGACTTAATAGATTCAATCGATAGTTTAGGGATTAAGTAGACAATTTGGCAATAGTTTAGGGGTAGAAAATGTAATCAACCCTATTTCTTAATGATGTTAAAATATTACAGAGTTGTGTTTTCTTTAGACATTTTAGAGCAAAGATTAATTCCCAGTTTAATGCTGTTATGTTTTTAGGGCTATTTTTTTAAGATCAATGTTTCAAGGAAAATGTAGCCACTAAGTGTTCCCATATGAATGCTTGTTTTTGGCTTTATGATAATTATTGATGCCTCATGACTTTTTTTATTTTAAATTTCATTAGCAATAAATCTTTCATGATGTTCTCAACTTCCTACCCCCTTAAATCCCTAGAATAAAATGGTTGTCTTATGCCAATTTCAAGAATTTTCATGAATTTTTTTGACATATTATTCAAACTTGATGATGGAAACAGAACAGTCTTGATCATCACGTATTCAAAACCATCAAAAAGCAATATTAGACATTCAATTAGTACACTGGCTCCACCTTTTGTTCTTAGTTTTTCTAGATGATGCTCTCATCTATTGTCCACTACCTCTATATTTTGGTTCTTCGTTTTTATGTTTAAAGATCTAGCTTTATAATTTACGAATGATTTACTTAGATGCTCTAAACTTCTAATGAATAATATTTGAAAATAGACCCTTGCTAGAGAAATGTTTCTTCATCTGTGTGAATTTTTTTTGCTACATCTAATTCTTATTAAACTAAACGATGAAGTACACAAAATTTTGATCTTGTTACAGCGTAGAGTCCTCAATTACAATTAATTGAGGCATCCTCAGGACTGCAATAGTCCTTGAAAAGTGCTCCTTTCTCAAGCTTCCACCTTTTCTTTTGATTAATTCTTGGGCCTTGCCTTCCTAACAACTCCAAATTACATCTTCCAGTGAATTTTAATTGTCTTGTTGGCAGTATTAAAGCACAGGCTTTTGAAAGAGCATAATGGCATGTTGTATATACTCATTGAAAAAGGAAACTGGCAACTAATTAGCTGTTACTGATCTGGTTTTACATTAGGAGGCGATTTCTTGTGTCCATAAGTGATTTTAGTTCGCCAGATTTATGACCTTGTGAGGGGCTGCATTACTTTTAACTAACCTTTTCTAGAGCTGCAATTCTATCATTTTGGTTAATACCTACGGTTGGAATGAACTCTTGCCTTTTCGTTGGACTTTATGCATTCACATTTTTACTGAATTACGTAATTTATTATTATTCAGAAACTTGGGTCATCTGGTCAGCGAAATGCTACAAGGTGTGGTCTTTCGTGGGTAGAAATGTTGAAGACAAGGGATCAGTTTAAAGAGGCTACTACTGTTTACTTTCGTATTTCTGGTGAGGTAATACCCACGTTTTTTTATAACAACACTGAATAATAATATCTATGCTCTGCTCCTGAAATGCAACTTCTTTTAGGAACCCCTACATTTGGCTGTCATGCTGGAGCAAGCATCTTGTTGCTACTTGTTTGCGAAACCACCAATGTTACGCAAATATGGATTCCATCTTGTTCTTTCAGGTGATCTATATAAGAAATGTGATCAGGTAACTATATCACAAATCATGCAAAAGTTTCTTTGTGCGTAAATGCTGTAATTTTCTGAAAATATCTCTCTTGTTTGTCATCAGATGAAGCATGCAATTCGCACGTACAGAGGTGCTTTAACTGTTTTTAAAGGAACTAAATGGAGCCATATCAGGGATCATGTTCATTTCCATATTGGAAAGTAAGTTCTAAAGCATTTGCCAGTAGTTTGCATAATAAACACATTAGCAATTGTGGTATTAGTAATGTGCAAAGATATTTAACATACCTGACATGTAAACAGATGGTATGCATTTCTTGGGATGTTTGATGTGGCAATTAATCATCTATTGGAAGTCCTGGCCTGTGGCCATCAATCGAAGACAACACAAGAGTTATTCCTGAGGGACTTTTTTCAAATTGTTCAGGTAATCTGCAACTGTCTAATAGCATTATCAGAGAAAGAAAATGCAAGATTTTGTGTAGAGCCTAAACGGCCTAGTTTAACCTGTTAATCTGATTTGTTTAACTGAGACCTGGCATGGCTACTGCATCCCATTGACTTGAACCAAAATAAATTGTTCTCTATAGAAAAATACCTAACATTTTTGTCACTAATTTATGGTTGATCTTTTTAACGGTCTGAGGGCAATTGGTTTATGTTGATAAACTTTTTGGACTTTAACGGAATCCATCGCCAACTCCAGCTTAAATTTTTTTTGAAAGAGAGACAGGAATGTGTAATGAGGAAGGTTTTGTTTTAAGTTTTAATTTTTTTTATTTTTATTTTTTTATTTTTTTATCATTTTGAATTTCTTTTGACTTAGAAGCTAATGGCTCTTTTGTTTTAAAGAAAATGGACAAGAATACTGGTTTTTTTGAGAAGTTTGTACTCACTAATGATAAGGGTGGAAGTTTGAGTTGAGCAGATTGAAGAAGTGGTTAGGAAGGTGAATGAAATGGCTGGAAAGGACAAAATGGTTCAACATTCCACTACACTCTGCCTTCGTAGATCCTTAGAAGAAGAGGGAGGAAATGGAGGATATTCTCTTGAATAATAATTTCATTTTGTCATACAACTTTTCCCACTTTGATCTTCTTTGTACTCTCCTTTACCTTTGATACTCTTAAAATGCGAAAGAACCTATGATTAGTATTACTGCTAGAGTTATCAAGTTCTTCTAAACTCAAGTTAATTAAAAAGTAAAAAAAAAAAAAAAAAAAAATTCAAAGTAATTCCTTCACTGTTCCTTGTTCTCATCTTACTTAACTACTGCTATCTTATACACTTAATGTAGTTTAGGACTCTTCCTTTTCTTCTTCTTAACTTGGCAAGTTTATATATATATATATATATATATCCATTTCTCCATCCTTCTAATTTGACTTATGATAAAAGATCATTAGAAGACTTCAACTTAGCCTTACTAACTCCTTCCTTAACTTTGTCTTTTGCTAATTTATCTTTTAATTTTTTTGTTATTCCTATATATATATAGAAAGTTCTGTGACACTCTCCTTTTGTTTTGATCGCTTTTTGAACCTCTTCATTCCACCAAGAATTTTCTTTGGATTGTGTCTCACACTGCACAGAATTTGTTTTCTCATTGGAAGTCCATTTTAGACAACCCAAATTCCGGTCTCGGAAGATCAGTTGTATCATGCTCCCCTGATCTTTCTTCCCTTGTTTTCATTAGTGATTATTTTCTTAAAATGGCCTAAACTTTCACCTTTTAAATCCCACCATCTATGATCAGATACGCTGGCAGTTTATGAGAGGCTCTGCATTAACATCCTAACATGAAGCATCACACACATCGAATAACATGAAGCTGATAGAATAGTCTGGTTTGGATATGAAATTAACTGAAGAGTACCGTTGCATGCACAATGTATACCAAACTTGAGCGACTTTTTTGATTGAAAAGAAAAATGTTTTGCTATGTTCTGTATAAAAATTCTAGTTTAAATTGAATATAAATGCTAGGTTTTGTTTGTGGTTACAAATTGATTGGTTAAAGAACTTTATTTCCTGTTAGATAGAGCATCTCCAATCCTAATGCATGATTTAAAATGTTGATAATATGAGAACTCTAATATTTTGTCACTTTTTTTTTAGATGGAAAACCAAACAGAAACAAAAGACACTTACAAACAGCATCAGCAACAACAACTTCAACCAAGGCCTGCGGGACCTCCTCCACTCTGGGGATAGACGACATGTAATTAGGACACGTAGGTTGGGAGTTAGAGTTGAAAACGCCTTAAACTTAGTTGAAAAATGTGCGTTGAGGGGGCAAAAATACGAAACAGTGCCTAAACCACTCTGGGGATGTCACCGGCAACTTGCTCGTGACAAATACGACCTATTGGGACATATGAGATGTAATTAGGACACGTATGTTGAGAGTTAGAGTAAAAAACGCCTTCAATTTAGTCAAAAAAGTGCATTGGGGGGCTGAAAATGCAAGACAATCTCGAACCACTCTGGGGATTGCGCGGGTAGCTTCCTCATGCCTAATAGAACATATGGGGACATATGGACTGTGAGTGAGACACATAGGTTGGGAATTAGAGCTGAAAATGCCTTCAACTTAATTGAAAAATCGCAGTTCGAGAGAGGGAAACTTAGGAGAAACTTGTTCGGATATGCAACATATGATTACGACTATAATTATACAATTTTGAAAAGATTATATACATTTGAGTTTTATGTAATTTTCTTTTATAATTTGAAATGATAATGTTATTCAATCAATACTAATGGTTAATTTATTTTTACAGATGGCTTTTGGCGTGGAAATGTGGATATTCCTTATTTGTGTGCGGAGGACGTTGTTTTTTTATAATCCGTTATTATGTTGTCTTTTGTTTTTTGTGGATTACTATTGTTTGTATAGATAACTATTGGCGTGGTACAAATTATTTTTGGCATATTACATATTACTTTTGGCATCGTATAGATTACCATTTGACATGGTATTGTGGATATTTCTTTCTTGTGTACGGAAGACATGGTTTTTGTATAATCCTCGGTTTTGTATAGAATTATTATTTTAAGTTGGATTATGCTTGGTTTGTATGGAATTTCTATTATTTTTCAAATTTGATGTTAAAAGTTGATTTTTCTTTGATTGTTATTATTTTGTTTATATACAGGGTACAAGTTGCTTAGAATAAATATAGGTTGTGGCGAAATTAATAAAAAAAAAACACTAAATAAAGTTTTTTGCGACTAAATGTGTAGTAGCCAAAAAGAAGTGAAGTTGTTGGCAACTAATCAATTGATAGCCAAAAGGAAATCAAGGTTTTTTCACGACTAAATATTTGGTATCCAAAAGAAATAAAAGATTTTTGGTGACTAAATAGTTAGTAGCCCAAAAAAAATAAATGAAAAATAAATTTTATTTGGTGATTAAATATTTAGTAGTCCGAAATATTTGAAGTTTTTACCTACAAAAAATTTAGTCGTCAAAAAAATCGTTGATGATTATTTGGTGACTAAACATGGTTTTTATGGTTTTTAAATTTTTTTGCAATGTATACGTCATTTAAAAGTCATTTTCATAATTTGGTGGTGTTCGTATACGAGGCGGTACCTTTTTTCCAATCCATTTGAAGTTAATTATAATTGAGTTTGTACGATAAAAGTCATTTAAATTATAATTAATTTCTCACATAAAATTACATAATTATTTAATACTAATTGAATTTATAAATTTTTATACACAAATATCAACATACACAATTATAACCTTATAATCGCTACAATCATCACTAACATTGTTGCAACCGTCATCATTGTCACTGTCATCACCACCACCATGATAGCTTTAGGAAGGTCAAATAATACTAGGGCTGAGGTAAGAAATGCGTAAAATCTATAATCCGATCCGATCCAGCTCAATCCGGTAGGTTTGGATTGGTTTTGTGAATCAATGGTTCGGTTCCGGATTGAAAAATTTAAAAGTCGTATTCCACGGATCAATTTCATTCGAAATCGATTCGGACTGTATACAAATAACCTACATCTATATTATACACTCTCCCACATAAAATATTTTCTCTTATTCCATATAAAACCTAAACCCGCATAGTATCTTCTTTTGTTGCTTTTGTTTCTTTTGTTTGTTGGTTTTTAGTTTTAATTTGTAATGGTCTAAATACTTATGGTAGAACCAATTTTCCTATGATTGTTTAAATTCTAAAACAGTACGTCGCAATTATGAAAAGACATGTTGTTATTATAGAACTAATATGATGTTACGTTCATATTTTAATGAAATTAAAATGTTCTATATATATTTTTTATTATTTAATTATGTGAATTAGTGGTCCTAAATCGATCCAATTCGTGTTTAAATTGATTGGTTCGGATTGGTTACACGGTTTAAATGGATTAGATTGGTTCCAATTTTTCAAAAAATCGTAGAAAATAGATTAGTTCTAATGTTACCCCAATCCGAACCATGCTCACCCTTAAATAATACAAGGGGTGTGGGACATTTTTGTATAGCAGAAGAGAGACATATAATGACGTAGAATTGTAAAAGAATCACAAGTTCAATGAGAGAAAAGTATGTTTTGAACCCTTTGACAATAGCCTCTACAAATTTTAATTTTTCTATCGACAAAATAGAGACAAAGAGACATCACCAATGCCGAATTTCTCTGGACACATCACAGAAAAAATTTTACATATCACCCACACCAAATTTCTCTGGGCACATCACAGAGAAATTTTACACATCTCCAACACCAAATTTCTCTAGACACATCACAGAGAAAATTTTAACACATCACCAACACCAAATTTCGTTGGGTTCAAACTAGAGAAAATTGAAATTTCTCTGAGTTCAAACTAGAGAAATTTTTTTCCCTTTTCATTTTCTTATTTCAACTTCTGTTTATTAACAAATACTGTTGTTGTTGACCAGTACCCCATATCCAGTTTATGCAACCATTTATGTGTAAACTAATATTTTTACAAAACCCTTTACAATGACATTATTCAAAAAATACAAGGACCAACCAACATTTCAATCCTTAGTGAGCATTTTGTGTTGTATGATTTTCCTACCTAGTTAGATTTGGACAAACTTAGCCACCTTGATCTCGCACGTCTCTAAACATCGAAAGAAATGAGTTGAACCCTTCAGATGAAGCCTCGCCGAAGATTCACAGTAGCAAGTTACTAAACGAATTCATGATCCCAACTTTGTTCACATTTTTTTTTTCTGGCTTTCTTCACATAGAATTGAAATTTCTCTGGCTCTATTCACAGAGAATTCCTCTGACTTTGTTCACAAATTTCTCTATGTTTGTTCACATAAATCAATTATAGCAGATATGAAAGAAAATTGTTTTAAATCAATTTTAAACCAAATTTCTCTGTTGATGCATTTTGTTTCTGCTTTCATATCTGCTATAATGCTTTATAAATCTTACTAGTGCTCTGCTTCTTGATATTTGTCCTCCGAGGGTAGTGATATTTGTCGACGGAGGAGTCTTGATCGGAGGACTAGTGATCGGAGGAACAACAATGAGGACTAGTGCTCTACTTCATATAAATCTTGCTGTATAAAGCACTATCAGGAATCTTCATGTAAATCGATGATCTTCATCAACAAAGCTTTATAAATGTTGCTTATGCGAATTCCTCCGTCGTAGTCAATGCTAATGAAGCTCTGAATAATGTTGCGAACGAAGAGTAAAGAGAGAGGAGTTGTTTGGTGCAAGAAAAGATAGGAAAGAGAATGAGAGAGTGTGTCATATATATGAGTGTGAATGAGGGACCTTAGATTACAAAAAAAAAAAATTATTGCGGACCTCTCCCATTACTAAAAGTTAGAGAGGGATGTTAGATCAAATTTTCCTATAAAAAAATCTATGAATACAAAAAATAAAAAAATAAATGTTTTTTTTATATATTTTTATATTTGGTGTAATTTTATTTTTTTTTAATGAGATTTATACTTCTAAATGTATCTAGATTTATACTTTTACCCGTACTTCTACCAAATAAAAAAATAATAATTTTTTTCAGTAAAATAAATATGAAACAAATAAATTTTCAACCTTAGTAACCTAAACATAAAATAAAATAAAATAAAAATCGTTAACTACAAAAAAAATAAAATAAAATACAAAAAAAATTTCTTTTTGTTTTCCCGCGCAATTCTTCCCCCCCCCCCTCTTTGTTTGTCACCATCCCAAATCCCCAATCCCTAACCTAACACTTCCTCTCACTCTCCTCTCTTTTTTATCTCTTCCGCCTCCTACGTCGTCGCCTCTGGTATCGCCATCGGCAACCACCGCCGCCGCCGCCACACCTCCTCCCTTACTGCCCTCTCTCTCTTCTCCTATTCTCTTCACCGGCCATCTACTTCGTCTTCTCCACTCTCGTCGTCGGATCCAAAACCCTAACCCTACCTTCGATCTTCTCCAATCCCTCCACAAGCCATATGTTCAAATCCAGACCCTACACTCCCCTCAACTGTTTCAGAACCTTTGTTTACAAAGGACTATCTTCGGACTCGTCAGAACGGCGATCTCGAACGGGCTGATTGTGATGAGAAAGACTAGGTGGCGAGGCACATTAACGCATCAGAAACGAAATCAGAAGATGGACAGTTCATCTTTGCCCTAAATTTTCTCTCCATTTTTGCTCAAATGTAAGTATGATATAGTCGTCCTCAATGTGAGTTTCTTGGGTTACTAGTTCTAGTCTTAACTGTGCACTTTATGTGTTTGTTTAATTGACTGAATAGTGTGTTTGTTGGAATTACAAAATAAATTTGTCATGTAGTGGTTTAAATGCATTATAATATATATTTAGCAAGAAATGCCTGCTTAAAATTAATTATCCAATGCATTGCATGAGTCCAACACTAGTTTTTAAGACTCTGCAAATTGTTTTGTTGGTAAAATCTTTTGGCATGTTCCATAGATTTTTGATCAAATTAGGGGAAAAAGAACATCTTTACACATTTGTTTTGCATTTCTTAGTTGACCACCATGTGCAGCAGCACAATAATATTTGAGCATAGTCGAAGATACTATAACCTCTCCATATGCAGCAGCATAATAATTTTTAGCATAGTACAAGACCACCATGTGCAGCAGCACAATAATATTTGAGCATAGCTGAAGATACTATAACCTCTCCATATGCAGCAACATAACAATTTTCAGCATAGTACAATGAATTTGAGGAGCACATACTGCAGGCCACATTATCTGCGGACCTACCTTCGTAAAAAAAACATTGTTTATTTTAATTGTTGTTAAAATTATTATAATTTTATTTGGTATGGTGATTGTTTTGTTGGAAAGAACATGCCTATGAGTTCTGCTCACATGGAACCCAACTTGCCTTTTTCTCCAGTTTTTGAGGCCTACGGGATTTCATACTAATTATGTGATACAAAGAATGCTCCAAGCTTTGAAAATATGAATACGAAAAGGAAAAAAAAAGTCATTTGCATGGAACTTAAAAACTATAGAAAAGTAATAAATAATAATAATCATAGAAAACACAAACAGAGAAAAAAAAAAACTTGGGTTTTGGTTAAAGGCAAGAGAGGCTTTTGGAACATATTATCAAATTTAACTTGAATTGAATTGGATGCACATGGCTGATATTAGATAAATATATGCCTAACATTTCCACCCCAGTAATTACAAGGCCCCCTTTTCGCTCCTCCTCTCTATTCCTTTTGTAATTTTCATTATCTATATAATTTTCAGTTCAAAATGGAACAGTTTGTTAACATCATTTGGTCATAATCGTTCCCATCTGCTAGCCATTCAGATATTAATTTCAATTTCTTCAAATTGTTTTGTTGATAAAATCTTTTGGTGTGTTCCACAGATTTGTGATCAAATTAGGGGGAAAAGGACATCTTTACAAGTTTGTTTTGCATTTCTTAGTTGACCACCATGTGCAGCAGCACAATAATATTTGAGCATAGTCGAAGATACTATAACCTCTCCATATGCAGCAACATAACAATTTTGAGCATAGTACAATGAATTTGAGAAGCACATACTGCAGGCCACATTATCTGCGAACCTAACTTCGTAAAAAAAACATTGTTTATTTTAATTATTGTTAAAATTATTATAATTTTATTTAGTAAGGTGATTGTCTTGTTGGAAAGAACATGCCTATGAGTTCTGCTCACATGGAACCCAACTTGCCTTTTCAAAAAACCTGGGTTTTGGTTAAAGTCAAGAGAGGCTTTTGGAACATATTATTGAATTTAACTTGAATTGAATTGGATGCACATGGCTGATATTAGATAATGATATCCCTAACATTTCCACCCCAGTAATTACAAGGCTCCCTTTTCGCTCCTCCTCTCTATTCCTTTTGTAATTTTAATTATCTATATAATATTGAGTTCAAAATGGAACAATTTTTTAACATCATTTGGTGATAATCGTTCCCATCTGCTAGCCATTCAGATATTAATTTCAATTTCTTCCTTCGTGTATGAACAATTTCTTCAAGTACTTGTAGTTGTGAATATGCATGGCACATAAACCTCAAACAATTTAAAGTTATATGATTTACATTCACCCACAAATTCATAGTTTTCTGACTACCATTACTTTTAATGAAATTCCTTACAATTACTTTTGCATCTTTGGACCATTAGTAACAACTTTTCCCTATGGATCGTTTAATGCTACCATCTTATCTATATCCATAGAACTAAATCATCTTAGTTACCCTGGTGTCCTTTGATTTAAGTTTTTTTCCCATCTAATTTAACTTGCAAAATTTTTGGGAAGATTGCAAATAAGGAGTATTGACATTTTTGCTAGTTTATATTATAGAAAAGTGAGGTTTTAACAATAAAGGTTGAGCTCTAAAGCGTTAACTAAATTTCTTAATAAAGGTTGAGCGACTAAATCATTTTTTCTTAATTCTTAACTAAAAAATTTATCTTAGCCCTTTGTGTCCATGGTCATGTGGGAGCTTCTTGGAATTAATTCGTTCTATTGTTAGACAAGTGTTTGGCTTGGAGAATTGAAGTAGGTTAGGATTGGCCAAACATAGATGCATCAGTTGCATTGGTGTTTTATGGGTCTTTCTCATTTGTTTAAAATATAGGGAGGGTTAAGTTAAAGACAAAGAGATTAGAGAGCACTAGCAATCAACAAGTGACCTATTTGAGAAAAAGGAATGGAATCTTGAAGAAAGCTAAAGAATTATTCATATTGTGTGACATTGACATTGCCCTTCTCATGTTTTCTCCAATTGGAAAGCCAACATTATTCCGTAGAGAGCGCAGGTATTTTCAAGTCTCCAATTGTGCCTATATAAAAATGTTTTGTGAAATTTGATGTATGGCATGAAAAATTAAACAAAATTCACTTGGATTTATGTGCACCATTTATCATTTCTTGAAGTCATGTGTTTTTTTGTTCAACAACATTGAAGAGGTTATTACAAAATCTGCTCAACTGACACCACAAGAAAGGACAAAAAGCTCAGTACAGATATGCTTTAAATCTATGAGGATGAAGAGTTGTTTTTCTTTTATTTATTTTTTTTGGGTTAAATTTGAACTGCATTTTCACAATGTCACTAAATAATTTTTATTTGAATGACCAGGAAGTTGGAGAGCCTTGAAGTAAGATTAATACTGCCCGTTCTCTAGTAAACCAATTCATTCTTTCTTTCTCTGTTTTCATTAAATATGAAATGATAAATGTATCATATTCATTCAAGCCTTTTGGTGTTCTATTTGAGAATATAGGCACCGAAGAAAACCTTTAAGAAGTTGGACCATGATGTAAATATACAAGACTTTTTGGGTTCAAGGTTTGTGTTTATTTTGATGAATCTTTTAAATCTTAAGGGATTAACCCTCATGAAAGAACTAATGTTTTTTTTTTCCTCTCACAGCACTCAATGAATTGAGGTTAGCCCTTTGTCACTGTTGTCACCGTAATGTTTTGAATTTGAGTTCTTATTCATTGCTAGAATCCCAGTGAACTTTTTTGACATCTCTTATTTAAATTGTTATGGACAGGAATTATCCAACCAATTGAGGATGATGCGAGCTCAACTTACAAAAGCACACAAGAGGCTGAGGTGCAACTTTGAAGCTCATATTTGTTAAAGTATTACCTTCCCTCCCCCTCCCCCCTTTTCTTTTGGTCTTGTGAATCATAAAATTTGCATGATATAGTTATGCCCCGAAAAGCCCAATCAATTAAATTTTGCAATATAATTTTGTCTACATTGTTTTGTTCTAGGTTAAGATAAACTTAATACAATGTTTATAGATGTGGAGGCTTTGAACAATTTTCATTCTGTCTTTTACTTTTTTGTAGCCGGTAAATTAGTTCAAGTCAGTCATTTCCCCATTGTGGTATAACAGTTGCAGCTTTGTTTTGTTTTATTTTAGTCACATTTCATATAGTCTGTTTCACGGTTTGTACATGTGCATAACTATTTCTCACATTTTGTATCTGTGTGCCTTTACGCTCTTACCAAAAAATTTATATAAATTGATTTATGTGTGTGACGTTTGCGTTTATATTTTTTGTAATCGCCGGATATTTCATGGATTGCTTACTGCTCCAAATTATTTCATGGATTGCGTTTATATTTCTTAAAATATATGATTTGAAATTACTTTGGTTCAAGACCAATTCATTGAAATAATGTATTAATGAGTAGCAAATTAAAGCTTGTATCCTAAAAAAGCTTCATGAAAACACTTTGAGGTTAACACACCTAATGGTTCACATCTTGCCAAAGGTTAGCAGCCAAGTGTGAAATCTAGCTTGTTTTATACGACTTTTATAAGGTCTGTTATAATTTATGGTACATAGTGTTGCGTGGTTAACATAGTCAAAAAATGCATATGCATCTAAATGCATCAAGTCGGTAACAGTAAATGCTGCAATTGATTGCTCATTGACTCAAGTCATGGAAAAAGTGTTACTTTTTCTTTTTGCAAATCCACTTCATTCTATAGATCCAATTGGCACATGATGATGAGTGTGTTTGAACTCAACTCCCAGGCACATACATTTCTTTACTTTTCTCAAAGATCTAGAACCCTTTATTTGTGATCTAAGATATTGGTTTCCGATTCAAGTCACATTTTTTTTTTTTTTTCCATTTTATCCCCTTTTCATATCTTTTCCACTGATTTGTTGCAATTTCATCAAAATTTCATTGGAGACCTTTTTCGAAAGCTATAAATAAATTATCTTGCATGATATAGCTTCACTAATTGGTAGAGCTGGGGATTGTACCCCCAACTCCGGTGAGCTGGGCATAAGGGCCTGGCACTGGGCAACCCTAGAGGCTCATTAATGATTTGTTTTGTCTATACAGTTGGTGTGAACAGCCTTTTTGGGCTTTTTTGCCCTTCTGTTTTAAATTATTCTTTTGCATTTTTTTGCATTTTTTTTTGTATAGATAACGTCATTTCAATCTTCCTATTCTCCTTGTATGAGTTTCCCATTTTTTGCTGCTTCAATGCTTTCTCCTACTCCCTCATAATCTCTCCTCTTGTGTTTAGAATGAATACATAGGAATTTTTTTGCATCAATTTAGCTAACTATCCAAAGCTTCATGAAGTTTGTAACAGTACCATGTGTTGAAAACTCTGATAGAGACTTACAGGAAGTAGATTAGTGCATCATCTAATAGTAATTTTAGAACATGCAATTGTTTCTAGCACTTTTTTGTTATTCCCATTTTGAAATTGTTTTTGGATTTGGATCATTGCTCTTATCTGTCGTTGCAGGTAAGGAAGATGGAAGAAAGGCATGGAAATCTCATACTGGACCATGTAAGTATCTTGGACCTAAAAGTTGTTAATTTGTTTTCCAGATAAAATACATTTATGCTTCCTAAAATAAGTTCATGCCACTTTCAACCTCTAATTTTAATTTTGTCCTTTAAATATTCAATTTGATTCAAATTAGTTTAATTTCAATTGGACATTTCAGCCTCTCGTATATATTTAATTCTCATCAATATATATATGCTATGTATATCTGTGTATATGTAATAGATGGTAGTCTGTAAATGTTATCTGATATTAAGGGTCTTCTTAACTGTTTGAAAAAAATGGCTAACTAAAAAAAAACTGTGTTGGCACAAAGAGGTTCATGATGGTAGGTATTCTTTAGTTTATTCAACTTTTCGACAACTGGCTTTATGATATTTTTCAAAGTTGTAAGTATTCTACATTTGCTTTACCAGCTGAGAAAGACAAGGAAGTTTTTTAAGATAAGCTATCTTCCAGTGTAGCAACTCTTGATAATTTGCACAACCAAATGAAGACGTTGTCTTTGAGATTTGAGTGTTCAGAGGAAGTTGTTGGAAATTGTAAGTTATCCTTATTTCGTATATCATAAAAGGTTTTCAGATAATTTCCAACAATAAGAACTGTTGATGCTGCCAAACAGAAGCTTATCATAAATTTGTAAGCAAAGAACTAGGTATTTCCATTTGCTTCACTTCTTTTTAGAGTTATGAAATGTGTTTGAATTCTGAATGTAGGCAAAAGGGAGTTGAAAGAACTCAGCATTGAAAAAGAGGAGAGCGAGAAATATTTTAGAGATGAACAGTGCAAAACTACCAATGTCATTGAGGAAAAAGGTAGCGGCTTCATTGACTGCTTCTGCTTATGGTTTGTTTCTGGACTGCCTACCCTATCAGGACTCAAATTACTTTGGTTCAAGACCAATTCATTGAAATAATGTATTAATGAGTAGCAAATTAAAGCTTGTATCCTAAAAAAGCTTCATGAAAACACTTTGAGGTTAACATACCTAATGGTTCACATCTTGCCTAGAGTAAGGTGCAGCCGAGGTCCATGCCTCACGTGACCACCTTTCCTTATTTGAGAAATTAATAGATTTGACCAAAATATGGGTTGTCATAATATCATTAACATTTGAAGACAATCTGAACAATTGTTGTAACAATAAGGAGTGTTGAGTGAGTTGAATCGAGCTCGGTTTCTGTTACCAGTTTGCTGCTGCTGCCACCACGCTCTTCTTATATTAGTGATAGTAGTAATATCACACATTTAACTTAATGATTTATTTAATGAATTTTAATGCATTTGGAGTTTTACATAGGCTATTCCAATTGGAAACAGAGGCATACTTCTATACTCATGTGCTTGAAGTGTCTTTTTAGTGGATTAGTGTCTAGGAGTTGAAAGTCTTATCATATGATAACAACAATTGGCTTATGATCTGAATTTTTATTAATAGACTTGCTTCTTGTTTTTCACACAGATGCTATGATCAAGCATTTGGAAGCAACTGTATCTGCTACCAGATTGGATATGGAGAGCTTAACTCAAAGATGGAAGAGTTGCATGTTGGTTTGAAATTTAAGGAGGGGATGACATTCAAGTTGGAGAATTTCAGAAGAGATGTAGGAGACAGAAAAGAATGATCTAAAATCTGTGTAAGTGACATTGAATGAATTGACAAAAAAAATGTAGATACCCCTCATGAGGATGGAGGACAAGGTGAGGATGAGGGACACGAAGAAGAGTTGGGAAGAGATGAAGATGATGACGATGAGGGAGACAAAGAAGAGTCGGGAACAGAAAATGTTGAAGACGGAGATGAATTTTCTAAGGAGCCTTGACCTTGGCCTTTTCATTGTTTTACTATGCTTAAGACTAAATTGATAGTTGAATAGGTTATGGTATGGGTTTTATGGTTGTCCCAATTTGTTTATGAACACTTTTTGCTTACTTTTGGGAGTTTAGTATGATATGTTTTGTGTATAAAAAAATTCTTATGGTTGGTGTTTTGGTGAATATGATCTCACCTGGTTGTTTATTGTTTGAAATATGGTAGTATATTGCCCTTTTTCTTTTCTTTTTTTCTTCTTCTTCTTCTAAATTTTTGAAAATTGTCAATGAGGATAAGTTGCTTAATGTTTGAAATATGATGTACTTTGCTTGATGTTTTAATGTATTGAATAGTAATTTATGAGGAGATTGTGAAAATCTAATTTAACTTTTGTCATTATAAAAAATCTAATTTGGAAGTCCATAGCCCGACTAAACACTCAAGATTTTGGGTTTTAGTTTTTATTTGGATTATGGCCAATGGATTGGCCAATTGATTTCTATCAAGGCAGTGCATTTTCCAATAGATCTGAAAATTGATTGGGGGCCCATTAGTCAATCAATTTTTGCAAAAAAAGTGTTAACACCAATCAATTAGCCAATCATTTTGGAGGCCATGGCCATGACAAACAAAAAGAAAAATGCCAAAGTTTGGCATCCTTCTATAATTTGCTTCAATATTGTGTACAATCAAATCATAGTGAATCTATTAGGCACTAGGCAATGTTCCAATCTCACAATCATTTGTGCAATCAATTGTTCTGTACTCTTGCAATATGGATGCATTTTATGCCGAATAGATCGGCATCCAAAATCAAATTCATAACCTTACACATCAATAATCTACACATACATTGATTACCAAAATCAAATTTACATCCACATTAGTTCTACCTGTTACACATTTTGGCAGATTTTACACATTTTTCAGATTTTACACATTTTGTTCTACCTGTCACACAGATCATCCTGAAGGAAGTCTCCAACTTGAAGGAAGCCTCCAATAGTAGGCAACCACAGCAATCAGTCCATGACCAGAAAAACGAAAGCAGCACATTAGACTACATGTTGCTCTAAATTTAAAATACAGAACACATAGATTCAGAACATATAAAATATTAAGGCCTTTGGTTTTTCTTCGCCATTCAGCATCTGTTCTAGTTACAGATTCAGAACATACAGATTTAGCATCTGTTCCAGTTACAGCATCTAAATTTAAAATACAGATTCAGAACAGATTCAAAACACACAGATTCAACATCTAAATTTAAAACAGATTCAGTATCTAATACAGATTTAGAACAGATTCAGAACACACAGATTCATCAGTTACGCACAGATTCACCATTGCATCTAAATTTAAAAACAGATTCGCCAGTTACAACATCTAAATTTAAAATACAGATTCACAACAGATTCAGCACACACAGATTCAGCATTTGTTCCAGTTACAGTTGAACCTCCCCGACTAACAGCTTGCTTTTTCTTCACCATTGCATTTGATTTTGGAGCCTTCGAGCAGTGCGAACATAGCTAAAACCTAGACCCCTTCCAGATGGATCACCAACACCAGTAATTTCCAAACGCTCTCCCACGTCAATTCTTCCTGGCTTTTGTCTTTGTTAATGGTCATGGCAGAAATGGACTCCAGTTTAGCAGCACTACTTCCGTCATCTACTTCAGCAGCAGCAGTGTAAGCTGCTATACTTCGTCCATGTTGACTGCAAAAAACTGACTGTCCAAAGCCTATAGTTCCAAATGTTGGTGTTGTGAACTGGGATCCTGCAAAATAGATTGAGAAAATAATAATGATTCATATTGGTAGCAAAACAAATATGTAACCATATTATAGAGTAACCAGCAATAACTTATTTAAATACCCACCTAAGAAGGAATTCTAATCCCCAAAAGAAGGCAAAGCAGCTCCAAAAAAGCTGCTGCTAGCAGAAGCTGAAGTTGATTGCCCAAATGTTGGAGTGGTACCAACACAAACAAAATTGCATGTAAGGAGAAGCAGAAGTTCAATTTCACAGATAGTAGAATTTCAGAGACATGGCAACACAACAAAACTGATAGATTTTGCAAGCACAATAAACCCATGTGTATCAGGTTGCTCTATCAAACTCAACAAGAATATACCTTCAGTTCATGCAGATTCCAACGGTTTAGACCAGTGGATCTTGAAATAGATACAAATGGAAGGTCACTCGCTTGTACAATCATCATACAACCATTATTGGAGCTTTTAGAACTGGTAGTTGATTCGTTTAATAATAGTACGATTTGACTTTCCTGTTTTCGACAAGAAAAGGTCATATAGACAACCAGTTATGAAAATTAACAGCATAAACATGGAAACTCTTAAGATCATTACTTTATATAGACAGAGATCCACGCAGTGGTAGCCATCAGGAACGGATAACAAGACAGCTTCCAGTGAGGCATTTCCCTTCTTTACACTGCTCAAATCATGGAAGCTTTGTTTGTTTGTTTGTTTTTTTTTTTTCCGTTACCATATTACTAAATGCAGTGATATTCAAAAGGCAAGATTTTGAGTAACAAATAATAGAATTACAGAGAAATCAATAATTCCTAACAAGAATGTAAACAAACCATATCACAGCAGGAAAATTATTGCTTTAGTGAGCAAAAATACTCATTTGTTGGATATATTTCTATGTGGATCATTCTATCAAAATACACCCATAAGCATGCATACATAGTACATAAAAAATATTCAATCAAAGATATCATCCAAACTTTTCAAAGAAAATTACCCAAAAGCATCTTGAGCAAGAAGAAGCCCATTAGCAGCAATTTCTGCAACCAACTTTTCCTGATATTTCCCAACTGACTTATCAATGCATCGATTCAGAACACAACATCCATGCTGATGAGTTGCAATATCAACACAGAACTTTGCAGCAGCATCAAATATAAACTGCCAAAGATTAAAAAACAGAGAAGACAAAGCAGGTAATGAGAATCAAATTAAAATAATAATTATGTAATTACAGTACAGACTAAAATTAAACCATTTAGGAATGAAGCCATATCTGGTCGAAGGCTTTCCACAGGCTCACGCAAATTACAATTTAAAGGTTAGAGCATGTGAAAGAAACCATGTTGTTAACACACATTACCTAGAATGAAATATTCTGTTTTGTTGGGTTACTATCAAACTTATATGTTCTCAATTAATATTCCAACTCAGACATAGTAATCCAGTTTATACCACACAACTTTGGCACTGGGGGGGCAATTCAATAAAAAAAAATAAAAAAGACAGCAGTCCTTACCTGAGACATCTTGAGAGTAACAAAAAAAATGGTTGTATGAGTAGAGGTGGCAACAGAATGAGTCAATTGTGTCATGCTCCAGCCCTTGGGATATGTTTGAGCCTTACATAACCAGGTGCAAGTTTATTTTATCCTCATTTATTTGCTTGATATTAATTGTATATGTTTGTCTCCATATTAGGTACAGAACAATACTTATTTCATTATCTCATCCAGTTATGAGATTCTCCTGTATTAAGTGGTGGTCAACTAAAATGTGCTTGAAGCTGCTACAATTGCGATAATAAAGAAGCCGTATCATCACGCTCTATATCAATGGTTTAAATTTACAAATCATCATGCCAATCAACATCTCATAAACATAAATGGCAAAATGGGTGGATTGGGCCCCACACCAATTGAAGATGTGAGCCCTACTCCCATTGTGAGTAAACGGTAGAAAATAGAGCGTCTGTAATCTTATTCAAAATTTGATTGATAGCCACCTCTTCCAGCACAAAAGGTGATAGAGATCTAGTTCTTTGGACCATCCACTTACGATGATATCAACGCAACTAAGATGATTTGATTGGTCAACTAAGAAGGTTTTTATTTTTTTTATTTTTTTTAAATTTTTTTTTAACTATGCACCAACTCATAGTCATAGCTATTATTTAAATTTTTTATTTTTTATCAGCAACTCATGGCTAATAAATTCCACGATGACAAGAAAAAGAGAACTATTTCAAACATACAAAAGAGGAATTACAAAGAAAACTTGTATTAAGTTCCACGAATTTCGAAGAAAAACAGATATCCAATTTATCATGCAACCTAGCATTTATCAAATTTGAAAGACAACCTTATGTGCTGAAGGACATACCTGGTAGTATGATACTGAAGTAGGAAAACTTAAGAACGCAGATTTTGGTGAAGATGCAACTGGAAACAGTCGCAACAAATCCTTAAAAAGTTTCTTCTTGGAAATTGTAGTAAAGGGCACTTCGAAGGCCTGCTTGAAACTGCCAATGTGGAGTGATGATATAAGGCATTAATAACTAGAAACAAGCCACATGACTATTCAGTTAAGTTTTCTCAGAGTACAAGAAAGAAAGAAAAAAATAAACAAGGGAGAACACAACAAGGGAGAATTTAGATTTTGTTGAATTAGAAATATGCCAATTAATGGGTTAGCACCCAACTCAACTGCTAAAACAATCTATTTTTAAACTAAACAAGGGAGAACACGACAATCTTGAGTAATCAAACAAAATAAATTGGCCTTTAGATTGTAATTTTGCAAACTTCTCTTATTATGGTTTTCTACGAATAGGTCACACATGTTGAACATACAAGTCAATCAAAATAAAAACTTGTAGTGCTTCTATTTCTCAACTGCAGAGAGTTATTCCTGGTGCAACTTGATAAAAAAAAATCAAACAATTTGAGCATGCATCACATGTGACATATATATGCAAGTCTGTAATAGAGATTGAACTAAAAATTACACATACCATATCCATTATAGTTATGGACAGAATTATTACAGCCAGTATGCAGCATATTCGAGATACTCAACAAGTAATTTAGGCAAGAATCCGAGTGTCCTGGGTGTCTACTATGTCCATATACACTTGAATTGGAGCAGACTAGCACTAGTAAAACTGTTGAAAGCCGCAACACATCTGTAGCCACACAGGCTCAGCTGAAACAAACGTTTAGAATGTCACTAGCATTAGGCTTTCAACCAAATATGGAACTTCAATAAAGACTATTGTCCATGCGACTCGCCCTATTTTTCTATATTAAATTCTTATATGAATTGTAATAAATCAGTTAACCTCATATAGTAAAAAATGATAACACGGACCAATTGAATTCACTTCCACAACAACTTTCAGTGGTATTATATGTCCAACTGAAACAATTTCATTCCAAATCAACATAGTTGACAAGTAGTAAATACCCCAGAACTCAAGACTTCCTTGAAGAGCATAACCGAAACATGGTCCACACATACGATCAGTCTGCAAAACTAAATGTCATGTATTTACCTGTCAGTGTTTAATGTTCTGAAAAGCACACGACGTACTCCCATGGGAATATGTAAGGATTTCATAACTTTAGCTGTGAGAGAGAGAGAGAGAGAGAGTCATAATTTAATCACCCAATTTTAGAAAAACATGGAGAACATTAAATACATAATAGATACTCTATTAAGTAAACCTGGATAAGCACTTATCAGAATGCCCCTTATTGTTAAGTGAGTATTTATATGAGATGGTGAGTAAATTTACAATTATATATATGGGCATTATATCATTCAGCAAGCATTTGTTTAAATGAGGGACCTTCTATGTGAAACTTTTTGACTGTTAACTTTCACAATAAATTCCTATCAGTAAAGGGCTATGGCCAAAATCCTCTTTGTATTATTGTTGTCCAACATTATTGCTTTCAATCTCTTTGCTAAGAACCCAAAAATCTTACCAATTAATGTGGATATTTTGAAGCTCTGACCCTGTTGCTAATATATAATGTAGAGCTTTTACATCCACCATTACAAGCGTGCATGTAACTAGTCAAAACAACGGGGAATGTGAAGTGTAGAAAAAGGATAATGTTAGGTTTTATTCTTGGCAACCCCGTTTGACAAAACTCCTTTCAGTTGTATTTTTTTTGCACATTTATTTCAGTGAGGCTATGAGTGTTTAGATGCGAATCCAACCCGAATTGTGCTTTTCAGAGAAGGTACTACCTATGTTGTCAAATCCGGAGACAAAACATTGTGTTGATTCAATTGTAATTTTTTGTGTTCTTGTTCTGTCCGCTCGAGCGGAGCCTTTTGCTCTCGAGCGTAGATTAGCAGGTCTCAGTATTTTGGCAGGGCAAGCAAAAAATACTGGTGGGTGTGATTTTACGCTCGAGCAGATTCTCCTATGCTCGAGTGCATCTCAGTTTGTTCGCACGCTGTTTTTGGTCAGTCCGCTCGAGCAGGCTGTGTTGAGCTCGAGCGGACCGCGCGATCCCAGATTTCCAGATTTGATTAAAAGAGTTGGTTTTCTTCTGAAATAAGGATTGCTTTGGTTCTCTATAAATACTTGGTTTTCTCCCAAAACTAAGGGATTGATGGAACTTCTCCAGATCTTATTTTTGGATCTTAAGGTTATATCTGGAGAGATTTTGCTAGTTTTCTTTGATGTTTTTATTGAGTTTTCAACTCATGATTTAAAGAGAGTACATCAAAGGTTTGTTTGTTATACACAAAAGAGAGAGTTGTTCTTCAGTTGTGGATTCTGAAGAGTTCGAGCCTGAAGCTTTGGTGGAATCCGGAGTGGCTCATCAGAAAGACAATTCCGTGGTGAAGATGGGGTTGGAAGAGGCACATAAAGTATAGCGACCCCGGTCTTTTTCCTTTTGGTTGTTGTATCCGGGCTTAGGTTCCTTGGGTTCTCTCAATGTATAATTGTGGTTGTCATCCTTTATTTTCTCTTTTGAGTTATCAGATGTGTTGGGCAGGTTTGTTTTGTTTTGGTTGGGTTTAGAAACCAGGTGTTACTGTCCAGAATTTGGATTGGTCGCTCGAGCGAGAGTTTGGTCGCTCGAGCGAGGGTTGAGTTTTGTGTCTGGTGGCTCGAGCCAGGGTTTCTTCGCTCGAGCGAGAGTTTGTGTCTAGTTTAGACCTGAGAGCAGTGTTTCTTAGCTCGAGCGAGCGTTTCTTCGCTCGAGCGAGGCTTTCCTGTGTCTGGTCGCTCGAGCGACCAAGTCTTCGCTCGAGCGAGCCTGTCCAGTGGGTCAGCAGAGGTTACAGGGTGGCTTGATGACCAACCAGATGTTGTTGAAGA